CTTAAATTGCTAGCTTAACTCGGTTAAATTTTAAAGAAAAACACAGCTTTCCCTCGTTGCATGAAATTATAAATGGTGATGACATTTCTAGGGCGTGTAGTGTAGCGCTCTATCTATATAAAACTACAATACAAATCTCAAACTAAGGCTTGGGACACAAATATAAAAACCGCGTTTTAGTATTGTAAATAATTTAGTTGTTCAGATTTTCGTTAACTAGATATGTAGATAAACAAATTAAGGAATAATCAAGATATTGTTATTGGTTTTATTTTTAGTCTATACTAGCATTGCTCGCGGCTCCGCCCGCGTTCAGATGACCAAAAACCAAATTCTTAGGTTTTACAAATTAGTATACTCTTACATTGCAGTTTTTGTATTTTTTCTCAGAAATAAGATATTTTTCCGCGGTAAAAAGTATCCTTTATGTTGACCCGGATAACCAGCTATCACCATACCAAATTTCGTCAAAATCCCTCCAGTGGTTTTTCTGTGACGCGGTAACTGTCCCACTGCTGGGCACTAGTCTCCTCTTAATGCGAGTGGGTTTAGACTATAGCCTGCCTGGCCAAGCGCGAGTTGGCAGACTTCACATGTCTTCTAAGTTTCTCTCAGACATCCAAGTTCTTACGATGATTTGGTCATGGTATTGGACAGTGATAATCATGTTTAAAATGATAAATTTTCATATGTGAGATCCGGCATTGAACTCGCGTCACCAATTTATTAATTCTGCATTTGTGATATAAACTTTAAAATTTGTCTCATATACTTATATAAATAACGTCATGGCAACACAGGTGTAATAAATTGAATTATTGTGCGATCAGTCGAATATAGGTCAGTCAAGTTGTCTGACCCACACTATATGACGCAGCTGCGACTCTTTGTCTTGATTGTTTAGGTAGGAAATACGTAATTATTAATATAATCATTTATTAACCGGAAATTCGAAATTTAGTGCGGAATTCTCGGAAGTACGAAAAGTTAATTCCGAATTTTTGGGAATAAATTGTTATCCATTTTATTGTATGCGTAGTGAAAAGAAGAACAGAAACTCCATAAGAGTATTTTCCATTTCGTAGACAGGAATTGTTGCTTGCAAAGATATGTCTCAAACGTACTCTTTCTTGTAGAGCAGTCTCGAAGATAAAAAATGGTCTAGCTAATGTATTGTGAGTATAATTATAAAAACTTAAAAAAAACGACTTCCAGGCACTAAAATGTAAAAAATAACTAAACATGTTCACGGGGGTTTTCATTTAGAGTAGATACCTAATTAGATATTTTCGAAGTCGGTGCCAGCCGACAATATTTTAAGATATGAATTAATAGGTAAATATATATTTTACGTATCGAAATATATTAGATTTGCTTTGCATCGGCTTTAAAACAAAAAAAACTTTCCAAATCGGTTCAGGCGTCTTCGAATAATCGGTGCACATACATAAAAAAAAAGTTTCCGAAAAATTGAGAACCTCCTCCTTTTTGGAAGTCGGTTAAAACTTAGTGACTTACCCACGTTTCGATCGGGTGCGTCCCTGGGTGCGAATAATTTCGTAAAACATTGTTTTCATAATAACTCTATTGGAAATTTTAATGAAACGTAAATTCGAATCTTTAGTAATTTATAAGGGTTTTCGATATTCATACAACAGTTATTGTTTTTACTTTTTAACCAACAACGGTCGCGCTGGTGGGTGACATGCTAGGACCCTTCTCGCCCCCTTCCGACACTGCCCCGCTGTCGTCGTACTCGTTAAGATATTGCGTTTCGCGAGTTATTATTTAAAAACTGTGATATCTTCTAAAATATTCATGTAATTTAAATGATGTAAAGGCCAGTTTTGATCTTAATTAAGTGCTTAAAACCATGCAAAGTTGAATCATTTTACTTGAACTATTGAGATATACCTTAGAAAAGAATAATGAGTATCGATTTTCAATTAGTAAATATAACGAAACACAAGCGAATTGAGTACCTCGTCCTTTTGAAGTCAGTCAAAAAAGCTTACGATATTACTTAAGTATATTCATAGTATGGATAATGGCGATTTTATTTATTTATCTTTGAATCATTTACAAAATGGCTCTGAAAGGCAACATAAAGCCTTCGCCATTTTACAAACGAGCTAGCCCTTTGTAAATGGATGTTGGCCGTTTTGTATAATGCTAAATTATACAATCTGCCTGGAACAAGGTATGCAAATAGTCACGATTACTCCGCATTGCGCATTGATGCTGATGTCACGAAAACGGCTGATGTATTTCAAAATTCATACTTAATATTATAAATGTGAAAGTGTTTTTGTTTGTCTGTTTGTTTGTTTGTCCTTCTTTCACGTCGAAACGGATTAACGGATTGGCGTGGTTTTTTGTGTGGGCATGGTTGGATGGCGTGAGAGTGACATAGGCTACTTTTACCGCTGGAGACTATCTCATTCCCACGGGAAAACACGTCATAATACAACCCAAAAAATATGATCAGAATTACTTGAAACTTGGTATTAATGCTCTTAAATACAATTAAATAAATATGTGTTTTACCATTTTTCGAAATTCATTCTATTAGAGGGTAAAATGAGGGATGAGTTGTAGCGCAACCGAAGCCGCGGGTTCTGCTAGTATTTCCTAAATAAAACTAACACTGCTAACCTAAAACTATAATATTGATAATATATATTGTATTTTGATACAGAAGGTTTGTTGCACAAGTACGGTTTACACTTGACCATTTTTTAGTATATAGGTACAATAACCTGTATAGATATACGCACGCTACGCACGTTATAATAAAACCCACAACAACTTATACCTTTGTATATATAATATATAGTATATATATTTCATTCTAACTGTTAAAACATACCTAGGGACGAACACGAGCTGAACAAGGGTCAGTCGCTACTTATGTATAAATGTGAAAGTGAGTTTGTTTGTTCTTCTCTTATACCAAAACGGAGCGAGTGATTGATGTGATTTTCTGCATGGAGATAGGTGAAGAACTGAGAAATGACATAAGCTATTTTTACCACAGAAAATATTTCATTTTCAGGGGAAGACACGGTTATAATGTCATTCCATATTATCGACAATTCCCCTAAGGTAAACTAAATGGCGATATTTCATTTTTGAAATTCGTTTATCATATGTTTCTACCTGGTCACTAGATTATACAATACTACTAACTGGTCACTAGATTATACAATACTACTAATAGCAGAACCCACGGCTTTGCTCGCACGAAAACTACGAAATAACCTTTAAAAAGGTAGTTTCATACAAACTTTCATCCCCTATTTTATCACCTTAAAGGATGATTTTCAAAAAATGCTAATATGTATTTATTTGATTTTATTGAAGAGCATTAATACCAAGTTTCAAGTAATTTTGATCATATTTTTTGGACAGTATTATAACTGGTTTTCCTGGGAATTAGATAATCTCGCACGGTAAATGGTAGCCTATGTTACTGTCCAGCCCGCCACTAAACTATCTCCACACAAAATATCACGCCAATCCCTCACTCCGTTTCGATGTGAAAGACGGACAAATAAACAAACAACACACTTTCACATTTATAATATTAGTATGTATTTGCAGATGTGTAAATAGTTGATAAAATTAAATTTCCAATGCACTAAGTATTTCCACAGCCAACTCATTACCGAAACACAAATATAATATTCCGCATGCAATGTATGAATAACTAATAATATCGTATCTAAATTTAGATATTAGTAAATTCATCAACATGCACTGTACACATGTTTGTTATTAAGTTGTAACAATATGTAATGTTTATAGTTTGCTTTGATTCTCTCGTTAAAAAGGATGCCGTATAAAACTGGTCAAGCACGACCCGTGTTTACCAACACCGAACATTTTGTACCGCTCTTTTATATTTCGGTCAGTTTTTATCATTTGACGTTTTACTTTTGACTTTATAATTGGTAATTTAATCAATCTTTATGTTTGTGTGTTGATATTACAACACTGCCTCGGTCGTATAGTGCCTAGCATGTACAGCTGCGGATTCGGAGATCTTAGGTTCAAATCCCGGTTCGGGCCAAGTTTGAGTCTTTCTGTTAAGAAAGCTGTACATTCGGAATATTCAGTCATACATCCTAGTCACAAAATACCACAAAAAATATATTAGACCACCAACAAAGTACAAACTAAACACATTCTAACATACACGGAAAATAGAACAGATAGAGAAGTACCTTAATTATAGGTGACAACGACGTTCAAAAAATAGTACATGTGAGGGCAAAACAACATTTAGAATATTAAAAAAAGTACCATAATGATTCACAATGTTACAGCTTACAAATAAAACAATACAAAAATATAACAATATAAAACAAATATTTTATTAAAAATCATGCAAATAACAAAATGGCACTGGCGAAATAGTATTTTAGTTTAAGAGGAACCAAATTGAAACAAAAAAGGCTAGGAACATACAAACAAGTACGTAAACATAAAAACAACTCAATGCCATCCACTGGTATATTAAAAAATCCTACCGTGATGGAAGAAGCTGGAGCATCGTTGAAGAAGCGACATTCTATTGTGTCGGGAAGGAGTGATTTTTGTAAGTTGTTTCAGTTGTAAACACTTATATTAGCTGAAAAGGTGAAAAGCATGCTAAAATCTCATATTTTTTTCCATATTCTTCAGAAACCATTTTCTGTTCTTCAGAAGAAAAGTATATTATGATACTTTTGACCGATTTGACTTTGTCAAAGTAAATCCTGGTGTAGTATTTAAGTAATCCGTTTTTTTTTCAGAAATTAGCTGATTTTTTAACGGTTATTGTAGGCTTTTTTGTATATATACATTATTACATTAATTATTATTATTTAAAAAAAATCTTGAGCAATTTCTAATTGTTCAAATTATTTTCGATCTCCATACTTCGTCAGGAGAAAATGGCTGACAGTTAGTGACTATAAAAGTAAAAAAAAATAATTTTATTTCTTTCATTATTCCAGGGTCTTCCTCCGATGAGGATGAAGGAGTACAGCCACACGAGAAGGCCATAGCCGCCGGCCAAGCCAACCCACCATACTGTGTTCGGAATGTAGAACAGAATGCATTCGGAAGGAGGGAGATTGAGATCGCTGAACAGGAGATGCCAGGAATCATGGCGTTGAGGGCCAGGGCTAAAGATGACAAGCCTTTGAAGGACGCTAAGGTAATAAATGGATATGCTAATATTGTCTTGATTTACGCGAATATTTTTTATATTTAAATGAAACTGACTTTTCGGATATATTCGGGTTTTATGTTTTATTTCTGACCTTTCGAATGCTTTACAGCAAATATGGTATCAGAAAAGTTTCTCCTTAATCGCACTATATCAGAAACATTCACGAGCGTGTACTTAACGGCTTACCAAACTTTCGTATGAAATGCACTTTATGGGAACATATACGTTACGTTACGACATAAATTCTCATAACCCAAAACTCATAATTATTTACATGTATTTAGTAAAACTCTTACACTGTCAATAAAAAAAAAAACACAAGTTTCTAATATAGCGTTGGTAAAGAATAAAAATTGACTTTTATAAAATTATCCCCTGAAGAGCTATAATATGGAAATTAATGTGTTTCTGTTTATATTGCCGACGGGAAATCACATCTGACTTATATTTCCATAATTTGGTAGTAAAATATAAATAATGATTTCACCCATTTTTTATAAATATAGCAGCAACTAATCGATCACAGGTAATGTTTGCGTGTTTTTGAGCCATGCGACTATAACTGATGTTTGAAATTGTGAAACACATTCATACATATATGTATGTTTGTGTAATGTTATGTGTGAAGAAACAGAAAGTAATCTTACTACACGATTAACCGAGAAAGAGGGTAATGTTTTTCAAGTGTTTGCGGGTATGTGTATTAGCGATGGGCGTTGAATGAACGGACTAGTTCAATCAACCGGTCGACACACATTGTGTATTCACTTCAATCAATTATTCAATAGGTGCTTCTATAAGTGTACATGTTTATTTTTTAATCAGAAATAAAATATTTTATCATTGTCTAAATAAGGCTATATGAATTAAAATGCATAGATAGCCAATTTAAAAAATATTGGAATTGTTTGTCATTTTAAAAGGAAGTACAAAATAAAAATATTTTTTCTTAATTTCTTTTTATATCGGTATTTTTTGTCAGTGGGTCTTTGTTGGGAAATAATTGATGCTCATATTAATTCTCAGCAGTAATCCGTTGCTTTATGCATACGACCCTTTTGGAGATTTCAGAGCTCAAAGGCTATTTAATCTTCTTTTGGCTGATTGCGTAGGCCACGTGAATGGTTATTTTGCCATTTTCCGGTTGGACGAGCCTCGTCAATAACGTTGTTTGACCAAATTGGAAAAAAATTGTCTGTGGTTGTGATCCTCATTAGAGAAGGAAGGCGAATAAGGTTTGGGTATTTTGGGCCCACGGGATCTCTGAAAACGTAACTTCTTTAAAGTTCAGTCTATTAAACGTCAAAAACTTCAAGTAGAATTAGGAGTTAGAATAATTTTTTTTCATTCAAGCCAGTTAAGAAGTATGAATTTGTGCCCTGAAGACCTTGTTTGCCAGTTTTGTAAGATGTGCAAAAGGTCAGTTGATTTTTAGCAAATTCTATTGAATGTTCATGACACGTGTCTTTTTCTATTTGTCATTATTCTTTAAATAAAATAAAATAAATAAAATAAAATAGCCTTTAATTACTAAAATAATTTGACATTATACACTCACACATGCAATTTTTTTTTCCAGACATAAATGACATATTACTTAGTAAATATAACACTCATAAAACAACAAAAATTATTATCTCATCAATAAAGCTGATATAATAACAGTACACCTAATTTAGAATATATTTTATACAATATTATTAGTTCTTTTATTATTTTGCTATGTAGAGTGAATGCTATGATTACAAATACATATATTGTTATTAGTATATTAGCTTGTCAATAAAAACTGATTGTGAGTATAATAATTTTTATAATGCTAACTTATATTTATGCAAAAACAAAATTTACTATTTTAAATAATTTGTAATTTAGATAACCATACATTGAGTTTCATTCCATCATGCATATAAACCAATAATAAATTTTAGTATTAGCTAACACATAGTAAATATATTATGTAGTATTAATTTTTGTTATTATTGCTTCTCTAGTATTATTATTATTATTTTTATTTTATTTTTGTTTTAGTAGTTTTTTTTTTGTCTGTTTAGTTAAATTTTGAGATTTATAAGATGTCTCTTATTTCAGTTTGCCTATGGGCAAAGGCCTCCTCTAGCTCCTTCCATTGTTTTCTCATTATTCTTTAATAGATCATTAATTTAGTTATTACCAGTGACTTACCCTCGCTTCGCCCTAAAATCTAACCTAAACCTAAATATTATTCTAGTTCATAATCTATCTGCGTACTAATTTCCATCCAAATCCTTCCATCCATGTGAGCGTGAAGGAGTAACAAACATACAAAGATTCGCATTTATAATATAATAATAATAACCATTTCAGATCGTAGGCTGCACACACATCAATGCTCAAACAGCAGTTCTGATAGAAACGTTAGCCGCCCTCGGTGCGACTGTACGTTGGGCGGCCTGCAACATCTACAGCACTCAGAATGAAGTCGCCGCCGCTTTGGCGCATGCTGGTAAGAATGTTGGTATTGTCTAGAAACTCCTGATCAGTGAAAGGGTGGGATTGCCCAGTGGTAATAGACCTGCTTGGTTTACCAACTGAAGCAGGGTCAAATCCAATATTCCAATATGATTACTTGTCTTACGGTGAATAAAAACATCGTGAGGAAATTTGCATTTCTGAGAGAACCTAACTAGTATTTAAAGACATGTGAAGTCCATCCATCCTCACTTGGCTAGCGTGGTGGACTATGGGTTGAGTAAATCGCCGCACTGAAGTAATGTTTGTTATGGCTAATCTCATAAATTACTGTACAAATTCTCATACGGTTTTCAATAATAGAAAGAGGAATTATCTTTATAAAAAAATTGCGAAAATAAGCTACCGGTATCGGGAATTATGTCATGTAAATGTCATGTAAAAAATAATAAAAATTAAATCGTGAGGAGACCTGTATGTCTGAGAGAACCTAGTTTTCAAAAGTCATGTGATGTATCCGCCCGAGCTAGGCCAGCGTGGTGGATAATTCGTGCTCGTATTTAACGGAGGTCCGTGCCTAGTGGGACGTTAAAAAAGGGGCTGTATACATATTTTCAAATTCAAAATATTTTATTCAGCATTAAATTATTTATTTTTTACTGTACTTCATGAGTCTACTACCAGTTCGGAAAGAAGAAGCTTCAGACCTGAGAAGAACTGGCGAAAGAAACTTAGCGGGATTATTTTATTATTTTTTTTATAAACGCAAGTGTTTTGTATATTTTTCAAGGTTTCGCAATATTCGCATGGCGTGGTGAAAGTGAAGAGGCATTTTGGTGGTGTATCGATCAGTGTTGCACTCCAACTGGTGCCTGGCAACCGAATATGATATTAGATGACGGCGGAGACGCAACACATCTCATGTTAAAGAAACACCCCAACACTTTTAAACAGATAAAGGGTATGTCACACTTTATTCACTTTTTTTATAATTTGGAAATTTACGCATACCACCTATGTACTAGTGCTCAAAGGAATGTTCGATTTTTCACATTTGTGAATGCGACTGTGAATATTTATTTATTTATTTATTAAGATTACCAATAGTAATACACATGCATGCATCACAACATGCATTGAATGCATGATTGATTAGATAAATTAATTATTAAATTATTTAACAGTATTATAAATAGTTTCATTATTATATGTGTATTAATCAAATTATAGAAAACAAAATAATTTCAATGTTATACTAATTAATTAATTATTTTTAAAGAAGTTAACTAATTTTAATTTGAAGGCATGTAAGCTATCGCAAGTAATATCGAGGCCAGAGATCGTCGAGGATAGATTGTTATAAGTGCGTGCCAATCTGGCTAAAGTGGAATACTTTTCCAAGTTGGATCTATATAAGGATACTTTATATAAGGCGTGCGATTTCCTAGGCAGTCTTGATGGCATATTAAAATTAAATATTGGTCTATTGCTGGAAATACAATACTGTAGTTGAGCGTTTTGTATAGGAACATCATGTTGCCATGTCAGGAGATGCTTCTACGTGAATGTAGTGATGTGATGTCATAATGTAGCAACCGTCTTTCCTAGGAATTATTAGTTTGATTGCTATACGAACGGTACACAAGATGACGCAGTAGTCGTTTTGTATTCTTTCCAATCTAATGCTATGGATTTTGTAGTGAGGATTCCAAATTTGACTGCAGTATTCTAGTTTACCTCTACCCAGGCTGCTTAAAAGTTTGATTGTATTAAAGGGCTGCCTGAACTCTATGGAACTCCTCAATACAAAACCCAGTGACTTTCTAGCTATGGTATTCATCTCCAATAGTCGCGAATGCGAATGCAAATGCGAATGTTGACTTAATTTTATTTATAAACTAGCGATTCAGTCTAGTCTAGTCGATTTCGTCCCTAGGTACGTTTTAATTTTTTTGAGCGGGACCCTAATTCTTTTTCTAAAATAAAGGTAGCCTATGTTACTCCCTATAACATCAGCTATCTTCCAGTGAAAGTCCTGTCAAAATCAGTCCAGCCGTTTCAGAGATTATCCGGAACAAACAGACAGACAGACAAAAATAAAAAAAAATGTGTTTTTCTTATAAGTACCGTATATAATTTCGTATGCTTTTAGTAAAACGCTGTTGTTTGACATTACAAACAGACACTTCAATTTAATTTATCTGTATAAGTAGTTTAGTTGAGTATTCATTATTTTTTTCTTTTTGAGTTGATATTTCACTATCTTTAATTGTTAGAAAAAAGACCAAGTAAGATGGAAAAATATATATAATTGAAGCTAAAGGTTATATAAAGATTTTGGATACTAGACGTTTAATTTTGGTTCAAATATTTTCTTAATTTCTGTGAAAAGAAATTATAAAGTTTGTTTAAAAATAGTCGTTTTTATAATTGGGAAATGTATTTACACATACCGCCTTTGTACTAGTGATGTGACGAATGTTCGATTTTTCACATTTGCGAATGAGAATGCGAATCACCAATATTCGCAAATGCGAATGCAAATATCCCCAATATTTGCAAATGCGAATGCGAACGCGAATGTTGACTTAACTTAATTTTATTTACAAATAGTTTAGAGTTTGTATTTCATTATCTTTAACTGTTAAAAAAAACATAATTTTGGATATTAGAAGTTTAATTTTGTTTCAAATATTTTTTGTTTTCTGTAAAAAGAAATTGTAAGCTTTATTTTGATATCGTAAGTCCTACAGAAAATATTTCTTTAACGGGCCAAGCTGTGGCGTTAGCTAGTTAGTTTAGTAAAAACTTCTATTGTAAAAAAATGTTCCAGGGCCTTTGCGTGATAAAGATTATTATGCTATGAATGATTTTATAAAATATGTCTCTCTGTCAGCGGGCTGGATCTCATAAACCGTAATAGGTACAGATTTGCATTTTTCACAATAGGTAGTTTGTATTTTCGCTATTTTCGTAAGTTCTATTGCCGTTATAACAACATATAATAAAATAAGCAAGATGGCGAATTTAAAAATGGCCGCTATGCAAATGAAAATAATATATATTATTCTTTATTATGTTTATTATTGTATTATTGGTCAGCGTCGTGTTCAATCTCATCAACAATAATATTAATAATAGTAAAATGATATTTATTATTATTTTGTTTACAGGGATAGTAGAGGAAAGTGTGACGGGCGTTCACAGATTATATCAATTGAGTAAGGCTGGAAAATTGTGCGTTCCTGCCATGAATGTAAACGATTCTGTCACTAAGACGAAGTTTGATAATTTGTATTCTTGTAGGTATGTATTCTAGGAATTATAATCGAAAATTTTAAATAAAATTACTTTCAATCTTTTTTAACTTAATAATATTTTAAAATATATTGAAAGTGTAAATAGATTTAAAAAATGAAACTCAAAGAATTTCAAATGGTTAAACTATAGTAACTAATAAATTGAATTAATTATCAAAATTGTATTTCCTTGCCATTTCTCTTTTCTTTAAAATTCTTGTATAATTTTGTGGATAGGTGCCGTCTGGAACAATTATATATTATTTTTTTGTCAGACGTGTACAATGTTAGTTTCTCCCGTGACCATGAATGCTGTAAAGCATTCGAATCGTCGGGAACTAAAAATTAAAATATTCGCGAAAAAATCCAATTCTAGATAGTTTTATTTAAAATGTCAAATAATCGCGTAAATCTGATAAAGTATTATGTAATCTTTTATCGTGATCAAATTTTAATCTGAAAAGTTGGAATTAGCTGAAAATGACATTATCATAGACGAAATGAATTAATTTGTATGTATGCTAAGAAATATATGCAATTAAATTGTTTATGTGAATCATATGGTTGACAATTTATGTGACGAATCAACCTATCAATATTTTATCATGATTACCTAAATTAAATAAAAAAAAACTTCATTGCTTAGACAAAATTAATTATTTAATATTTATATTATTGTGAGTAAGATACATGCTAAATATGTAAAGTCAGTAATTATTTTTTGAAGTTAATCATTCGATTGAATATTTGTATTATAAATAAACTCATATAATATGTATTTAATTGAATTTAACAAGTAATACACGAACTATGAATTGTTGTTTAAATATTTTTTTAATCTTTAATTACAATCTCTAAAATTTCAGTTTTAAAGATATATATTTTATATATTCAAAAGGAAGGAAGAGGTCCTAATCCGTCTACATGCTTTCTTTGTATCTTTGTCAAATTGTGAATTGATTTTCATAACTGTATTTTTTAAATGAATGAAACGTTAAGAATGGTTTCATATATAAAATAATGACTTTTAAGTGTATTTTAAAGTTGAGATTTTAAAAATAATTATTTCATTTTGTACATAATATGAAAATATATTTGAATTAATGTTTATAATGTAAGTAATAAGAGATTCGTAACAGAATACATTTTTTTTTTCAGAGAAAGTATAATAGATGCACTGAAACGTAGTACAGATCTAATGTTCGGTGGAAAACAGTCGGTGGTGTGCGGGTACGGGGAGGTTGGAAAGGGGTGTTGTCAAGCGTTGAAGGCTTTGGGATGTGTTGTAAGTGTCAATTTATCAACCTATCAATCTTTCAACCGATTGGTTGGTTGATCAATGTTAATATTTGGTTATTTTTTGTTTATAAATGATATTGAACTACTATTATAATTTATAAATATGAAGGTTTGTATGAGTCTGTGTTTATTCTTATGACTCCTTCACGCTTCAGTGACTTAATGGATTTAAATGAAATGTAGTACATACACTAGCAGTCCTTAGCTTGATTCCCGATACAAATTTTCATCCCCATTTCCATCCCCTTAAGGGACGATTTCCGGCATAAAAGTATCCTATGTCCTTCCCAAGGTCTCAAACTATCTTCTTACCAAATTTCATTTAAATCGGTTCAATAGATCCAGAGATTACCCCCTACAACGTCACAAACTCACAAACTACCTCTTTATAATATTAGCATAGATAGATAGACTAAGATCTGAAGTAATAATACTTAGGCGATTGTAAGACACCTAGGGACGCACCCGAGCGAAATGAAGATAATTGTTAGGATATATATATATATATATATATATATATATATAATGCGAGTTTACTTTTATGCAAGTCTCATGTTTGGTCGTGTGTGGGAACGAGGAGTTAGGGAAGAAGTGTTGTCAATATCAAAAAAAAGGTTGATAGAACCGAGTGATTGGTTGATAGATTTTTTCAGATTTTGTCTGATTTTTACTGTTGAACTGCTGAATAGATTTATTTTTAAAGTTGGTTTGAGCTATGATGTATAATAAAATTAAAAAAAATAACCAGGGAATTGAGTATAGAAGTTATACAGATATACGAAAATTATTTAATACATATATGTTTGTATGTACAAAAAAGTCATAAAACTTATTTCATTTTTTTTTCTTTTTTTTTAAATGGGAGTTTTCATGAAAACATTAATTTAAAAATAATAACCAATATAATTTATTATTTTATAGGTGTACGTTACAGAAATTGATCCCATATGCGCACTCCAAGCCGCCATGGACGGATTTCGGGTCGTCAAGTTAAATGAGGTTAGTTTACTATCAATCTGTACTAATATTATAAATGTAAAAATATTTATTTGTTTGTTTGTTTATTTGTCCTTCTTTTACGTCGAAGCAGAGTGACTTTTTGTGTGGAGACAGTTGGAGGGCTGGAAGTGACATAGGCTACTGTTTACCACGGGAGATTATCTAATTCCCACGGGAAAGCACGTTTTAATACAACCCACTACTTATTATACCTGTGTAAATATATAATAATACTATCCGTACCCGCGGCTTCGCGTCCAAACTTCCGATCGCTAACAAAATTCACAGGATCAACCGCAGGGCTAATTTAAAGATTATCTAAAAATTTCATTAAAATCGCTCCAGCTGTTTTGGAGTCCATAGGAAACATACATATACACATCGATTTTTATTTAGTTTAATCAACAATTTAAATTTATTTATTGCTCGGAAAATGGAGTCTTTTAAGAAAACTTAGTGACACACCGACTACAGCGCCATCTACCAGATCCATTTGTGAATTCAAACCTTGCAAGGACCTACTCGAACATACACAAATAATATCATTAAAATCGTCCCTGCCATTTAGAAGATGATCAGTTGCACACCAACTGCAGCGTAACCTACTGGGGGGTCCATTTGTGTTTTCAAACCATCCAGGAACCTATTGAAATATACACACAAAATTTCATCCAAATCTGTCCAGTTCTTTAGGAGGAGTAGGTTAACAAACACACGTACAGAAGAATTATATATATTAAGATAATAATCTATTTCATACTAACCGTCAAAACGTACTTAGGGAAGAACCCGCGCGAAGCGAGGGCTAGCCGCTAGTATTATATTTTATAGAAAATATGGTAAATAATAATATTAATAATGAATATTGTTAGTGCCCATGAAAGTTAGAAGAAATAGATATACTGAAGTGCGTGCGTGCGTGCGTGTGAGAACTCTCCCTTACACTGCTCAATAATATATCTGTCATATATCAGAAGCCTCAGATGTGGCCGAAGTGTACACCGTAGATTTTCCGTTTTATTGTATTATTTTTAAATATATTTTTTTAATTAATCCAGGTAATAAGGCAAGTGGACATAGTAATAACGGCCACAGGAAATAAAGGCGTGGTCACACGAGAGCATATGGAGCGTATGAAGAACGGTTGTGTTGTTTGCAACATGGGCCATAGTAATACTGAAATTGATGTGCATTCTCTGAGGACCCCGGACCTACTGTGGGAGAGGGTGAGAAGCCAGGTGAGGATAGCTAGTTAGGTAGTTAGTCAAATGAGACGTTGTATACTGTAGTTGTTTATATTTAGGGTTCAAATTCCAAGTCTAGTTTCTCTGATATTTTCATGTGCGAATAATTTCCAACATGATCACCACTAGTCTTACGGTGAAGGAAAACATTGTGAGGAAACCTGCATGTCTGAGAGAATCTTGCAAGTTGTCGAAATACATGTGAAGTCTTTCGGTCTATTCCCCTTGCCTGAGGAGAAGCCCACTCCCAGCAGTGGGCTTCTCCCATGCGAGTTTTTTAGCTCTTATCAATCAATACAAATTTTTCAATCGTTTGATTTTTATGTATAAAATATGATTATTATTATTTATATACTATATGCATAAACATTTATCCTATTTCTGGGAGCAAATAATATAGACTTTTAGTCGAACACTAGAGAAATTGAATTTTTTTTCTAACAATACGGCATGTATTAAGAATGACAGCTTTCTGTAATTGAATATAAAGGAGTGGATGAATATCGAGCTGTTTGAGGCTTGCGTGTAAAGTGAGTGGTATGACTCCTTATTATTATTGTAAAAAGTAAATGATAAAAAATCAAAATGTTTTTACTTTGATAAGTATTGAAGTCTAAGTAACAATATTGTCTATTAAGTTGGACACTGCGGCCATTGTAAGTGAAAACCTGGTATTTGTGTTAAAATATATATGTATTTTTTTTAAATACTTATTTATTTTCGTCATCCGCCGCATTCAATATAAGCAAGCATGTGTCTGTGTGATAACAATACGCCATTTTTTTTAAATTATTACATGGGTTAATTGTTGTAATGGAACTTTATTTTGACCAAATACGTCTTTATTTATTTCTAAGATAGTTTTCAGTTTTTCTATTGCTTTAAATACTTTGTGTAGGAATGTAGTTCCCAGAATCTCTTTTTTTATCTTTACGCACTTTCCCTTATGGAGTAAACGGAGAAAAATAATGACTTTCTGTTCTCTGATCTCCATCACTGTAATAAATATACTAAAATCTACCTATATCTATCTATAGATCTATCTATCTTTAGTCCAGAAGAGATATTTGTATGGATAAAAAACTTTCGCCCTATATAAGAATCCTTGGTTTCTAGCGTCATAGATTTCTATTTCAAGCATAATTCCTGTAAAAAATTAAAAGTACATGTATGTACAATATTATTATTTTTTAGATGTTTTTATGTTTATTAGTCATCTAATCAATATTTTTGTAATTTTTGCTATACTTGAATAATTGTATGATTATTAAATATAAAAAAAATATGTATTTTGCCTTAAAAACGTACAACGTTTGGATCGCTTATAGGGCAACTGTTTTTCACATAGATAAGAGAAGTAACCGTCTGCATGTGTGTCTGTTGGTTGTAAACACCGTTTCTCGTTTACAATGAAATATTTATGATCTGTGTCGTACAAGGTGGACCACATTATATGGGGGAATGGCAAGAGGATAGTGTTGCTAGCAGAAGGTCGTCTCGCGAACTTATGCTGCTCTTCCTTGCCATCCTTCGTGGTGTCGGTGACTGCGGCAACCCAGGCCCTCGCCCTCATAGAGCTGTACAACGCCCCTCAACACAGATACAAGGTGGGTTGATTGAATCATTGATTCGGTAAGTCTGTTGATTTTTGATGATTTTATTGTTTTGATTTTTAAATTATTCTAAAAATTTTATGTTCGGAGATTTTTGATTTCTTAAAACGAAAATGTAACGCGCTCGCAAACGAAAATGTATATTATAATTAAATAGTAATGTTTATTACGAATGTTATTATTTTCTAATGTAATGGAATTAAACTGATTACTTTAAAATTTAAAAAGAGAGCACATCATCAAGTTAGATTAGACTTTTTTTAATTAATAAAAAAATCTTTACAGGCCGATGTATACCTCTTACCAAAGAAAATGGACGAATACGTAGCGAGCCTGCACTTACCTACTTTTGACGCACATTTAACCGAATTGACAGACGAGCAGGCTAAATACCTAGGTCTCAATAAAGTGGGACCCTTCAAACCTAATTACTACAGATACTAACCTCCGACTAGGGCCGGTCGGTCCGCTTTCGCTTCTAGTAACAAAGCATACATGACTTCATATATTACACATGCAAAAGATGATGTGAAAAAATGCATTTTTTTATTATTTTCTTTGTGAAAAATTTTTCCATTACTTCGTTGTGAATTGTTGTACTTCTGTACGTATAATCTTTGATTCGTTCTGTGATATATTTTTTTTATTAAGAAATACACATTTTCTTGTTTTATTTATTATAAAGCTTAATAAGCTCTAGAATAGAAGTCAAGACCGACCGAAACAAAAACACGATATACTAATATACTACTACACGATGTACTATAAATAATACTATGAATATACAAATTAAAACGACGTGTCATTTTTTGTGGCATTTCATTTTTGCTTTTATATTTTGTGTCAAAATCATTCCATATAATATATTAAGGAAGTGTGTACGTGTGTGTGCAATTCACACGCGGTAGAAGTGAAACATCAGAAAAGTAACCTACGAGAGAATGACATGAATACAGAGTATCAGGAGTAGGATAATTATAGGGTTTTTATTATCAAGTTTAAAAGTTATTTTACATTCTATTTAACATATATTACATTACATTTTTCACTTCCTGTGTAATGTAATCTATCTCACTCTCTCGTCGGCTTTAAAGAAGTTTCACTTCTAAATCTTCTTGCTCTCTTTTGACGCAGTGCTTTTTTTTCAGAAAATACTAAAACATGATCATCACAATACAATCATACGGCCATTTGTCGCCTTTTTTATCCTGTTTGGTAAAATTATTTGTTTACTTAAAGTATCAAAATTATTACTTTTTGTTATAGTGCGCTTACACTTTTTACTGGGCGTATTTAAAATAAAAAAAGTAGGAATATTCATTTAAAAGTCATATTATTTTTGTTTTTCGTTATTAATTATTCATTTCGTTTGGCGGGTTTTTTATTCAGAAAAGATAGTTGGCCACAAATTTGTGTTATAAAATAAAATTTTGGAAATTTGTGTTTAATATTAATAAAACAAAAAAAAAACAACTAAAAAAAACTTCTAATCTTTCCATAACATATTACATAAGCATTTTTCTTTACAAAATGCCTTTGCTGTAATAATGTCTATTATAATATTAAAATATAGTTTTTATTATAATTATCACTTTTTTATTTAACTATTTTTTTGTTTAATAATATAATCAAACAAACAGATATCTTAAAACATTATTTTTGCCATCATAATATATATTTTTCAATCCTTCTCATAACTAGATAAGTACCAAAATTTTTGTTTTAAATATTGATATTATTTTTTATAATTATGTTACTTAATTTAAATGTTTTATTATGTTTTATTTTGTGAAATATTTTTGTTACAGGTTATTTATTTTAAAATTTTTTGATATAATTATTAATAATATATACTCAAATCTTTATTTTGTACATTTGATTTTGTAGTTTAGCTTAGTTGTTAATTTTTACAAATTGTGAGGTACTAGTGATGTGTTAATTAAGAATCTATCGAATATAAATAGGTTATATAAACTATTTAATTTTTGGAAAATACTTAATATTTATTGTTATTATTTAATTAATTACTTCCATTATAAGAAAATATAGCAATATCTATTGTACTTAATGGACATTTATAAATTAAATGAACTTGTTTTTTTTTAACTTAAATTATGTGTGTATGTATATTTTCTTGTGAATATCAGTAGTAATTTTTATTTTGCTAATACGTTGCTTTTTTATACATAGAATATAATAAGTTAGTGTTTATTATAAAAAATATGCCATTTTTAACGAATTGTATTGAATAGGCATTAAGTATATGTTTTAAATTTAATTGTTGTGGATTTGGTAGATTGGTGTGCATTCGGTTTTCGAAATATCAAATTTTATAGGAGCTTAGCCTTAGTTGGCTTAAAATTTATGTCAAGAAAAGTACTTTCTAGAAGGCATCTATATTTAAATTGACTAAAGTATGACATTGACAACTGCAAGGAATAACATTATAATTTAATGTTATAGCAGTGAATGGATTTACTCCATTTTTTTACACATAATTTAAAATAAATTTATAATCTTATTTTACCGACCAATCTGCTTCATGTCTTTTCCATTCTGCGTGACATTGGCGAAGTAATCTGTGCTCAACTGACATGCTTTGAAGTCACTAACAAGAGAATTGAATTGAATAATTGCAGTGAATATTAATTTTCATTCTATAAAATACTTTGATTTTGCGTTGCTGTAGAAATGAGTTACAATAGTCTTCCTAGCAATGTATTTGTTACAACATATATATATATATATATATATATATATATATATATATATATATATATATATATATATATGTGTGTGTGTGTGTGTGTTTTGATTGTTGGTTCCTGACGTTTTGAATGCTTTACAGCAATTATGGTCACGGGAGAGACTTATTTAAAATGTCAAAATATATTCGCATAAATCTTATAAAGTATTAAAATAAAAAAAATTTAAAGTAAACATATTATGAATATTTATCTCGCAACTATTTTTATATGTTTTAAGCAGCAACATCACTATTTATTATATTTATCGTCGTATAATTGTCGGTCGATTGGTAATTATTTCATATCTAATCAGAGGAACAATTTTTTAAGCAGTAGGGCAAAAGATAAAAATTCTTTATGACGTTCGTAAAATATGCACACAAATAATTTTAAATAAAACTATTTTTTCGGATTTTTCGCGTATTTATTTTGGTTTCCGACGTTTACCGACATGAAAGATAGTTTAATTTAAAACTAGCGGCTCACCCTCTCGCTTGATTCGGGTTCGTCCCTAGGTACTTTTTAAATAGATATAAATTGTTATTGACCAGCGTTAGCCATTTTTTATCGTGAATTTTCGGATGTTTTTTAAAACTATTAGTAAAGCAGAATAACTATTAGAAAATCCTATAAATCAAAGTTCATAAAAATCGGTCCACTCGTTCTTGAGTTATAAATGATGTAACTAACCCGACTTTGCTTAATATAATATATAGATGTCGAATATTCACGTAAGTCTAAAAAAGTATTATGCCCACAAATAAATATATTTTTATTTAGCCACCCGCACTTTCATACATACATGTACATACATACATACATACATACATATAATTTTACAAACATACTTATACTACTACCGAAAGTTCTGCCGAGTGTACCGAGCGAGACGAAGCTTTCGCCCATACGCTAACACTACATTTACTCTCTTTAATTTTGTAGAAAGAAATCTTAATGAATAGACATATTTTGTTTCATTTATATGCCACAGTCAAATACATATATCTAAATAAATTACTTAGTGACTCTAACCGAAATTATTACTACGGTAATTATTGAGGTGAATAAGTTATTATGTTAATAGTGCTATGTAAAAAACTTTCGCCGCAGAAATATGATGTAGCTATTCGAATTTACAGAAACACACTTCAAATTTTATATTAGTAGATAATATATGTAACATTGTACAATGTATTTATAACATAATCAAAGAACAGCCCAGGAAAATTGTAAAATAGTGTATTTATGTAATGTATTAAAACATGTTACCAGAGCTAAATCTGTAATAGAAAGATCATTTTGTTCGTCAATATTTATCCAAAATATTATAATAATATTCTATAAACAAAATCAAACAACTGAAAAAAATTGTGTGCTCTTTCTATCCTACAATGTAAAGGAGTTTTAAAATAGCATTATCTACAATATTTACTTTTTATAAATATTCGTACTACTCAAAACTAAAATATACTATATTAAAAAAAAGTCAATTCATTAAAATGTATTTTGTAGAAAACTCCTTATAAATGTTCAAAAAATTGTTTTTTTTTTAATTATTATTTTATTTGAAGGAAACCTGCAAACTATTTGTATTTTTGTTTACTAAATATAATATTTATATATTTTTAAAGAAGATCTAGTAATATATATATATATATATATATATATATATATATATATATATATATATATATTAATTAAATTTTTTTGCGGCTTTAATTGAATAACCATCTTACCAGATTTTGTTTTTATTAGAAATGGGCTCACCCTTGACCTTCATCTTAGCTCGAAGGCACAGATAGGTCTACGATCTAGCGAGTTTGCCCAGGAGAAGCCTGTTAACACGCACCTTAAATAAAATAAAATAATAAAATTCATACCTGATGGTATGAATGAATTGAATTTTGGCGATTACTTCGTGCTCTTTTTACTTTTAAGATAAGTACTTACTTATTTAATTATTAAATATAAAGTAATGTTACAGTAAAATGTATTTTACTTATAAAATAAATTTTATTTCATTTTCATGAATTGCGTGATTTTCATAATTCTTTTTTTTTTTTATTTGTTTTTTTTTTATAAATAAAGTAATCCTTAATTTAAAAGAATAATGAAGTTGTAAAATTTCAAGTTATGTTTAAAAAATATCAAAAAATATATAACTTATAAAAAAAACTAATAAAAAAAATGTTGCACCTAGCCGATCACAAATATATTTTTTTTGCTTTCATATGTCATGTCAATACTTCAGTACAGATAAAAAATATTTGTAGTATATTTTGTCCCACCTAATGTAGGCAAAGTGAAGTCAAAATTAGCTAATGAAGCCTAAAGTCTAAACCGAATGTAATTAGTAGTTGCAGGTTAAGATTGTTGCCATGTTTTAATAAATAAATTTGTGAAAAAAAATCTATGACTTTTTTTTATTCCATTAATCGTACTTTTTGTATATGTTTGCTACTCCAAGCGTTTGTACTGAACTAATAAGGCGGGTTTTGGTGTAATTCAGTTCACAAATAGACTATGAATTGGAATATACGGTCTTTCTCTTTTATTTAAAATGTCTTGAGCTAGAGTAACATATAGGCTATTGATAGGAACCGAGCGGAACGAGGTAATATGTAAGTAAGCCGCTTGTACGAAATATATTTAAATTAATAAAAAAATCTAAATTACCTCGAAACTGGGTAATTT